AAAAATTGTTATTGACGTGATGTCATCAGGTAAGGCTGGACACAAGTTTAGCCTAAGCGATATATAATAGCTAAGTTTGGAGCTGGGCTTATGTTAGGCTGGTTTTTTTTTAAATTTTTTAAATGCATTTTGTCACGTATTGTAAAACTTACAACCTCACAAATAATTAAAAATGTTTTCGGCCGCTCTTCACAACCATTAACCAACTTGTTCCGCATTATATTTTTAGCCGCCCCCCCCCCCAACCACTTAACACTATACGAATATTTTTTTTTGTTTTTTCTCCGCTGAATTAATCAACATTAGCCGCCCCTCAATTAAACCTAATCTGTGTGGCGTCTTGCGGGCATGGCAAAAAAAAGATTTGCTTTTGGACATTAAAGTGTCCATCTGAAGGACGTCGGAAAGGGTTCTTCAACCGACCACAATCCCCGCTTTCCGACCGTTGGCAAATGTTTTTGTTCCGAACGATTCCTCATCGTTCGGGCCCACTGTAGCCAACATTATAAGGCTGACGTAGGGTTAGGGGTAGGGCAGGTTATTTTGGGAGGTTGTTGTTATAGTTAGGTTGTTTTGAGAGCATGTTGTTATAGTTAGATTGAAAGACATTGTTAATGGTTGGTTAAAAAGTATTGTGCCACAGGGCATGTTATTTTAAAAAATTTTTTATTGTGCAAATTAATTTAAAATTTCAAGTTATAGGGCAGGACACTTTAAAATAACAATTTATTGGGTAAGCTAAGTCTAAATTTGATTAATATAAAGACAGTATTTTATATATTTTTATGCTTAAGCAGGTCATTCTGAGTTCACAATTCAACTTACAAGAAAAGTACCTAACCTGCAACTCTCAAAAATAGTGTAAAATTTCTATACACGTTCTTTGTAGTACCAGTAGCACAAATAAAAAATTTTAGCTTGCGGTTTTGCGTTTTAAACTTAATATATTTAAATTTCCCGCCAATTTGGCATTGTGTTGCAAGCATTTTTTGATGTTCCAAAGATAGGCTGACAAGTTTGGAATTGCAGGTTCATTTGAAGCTTTTCTAACATTATATTAAAGAAAAATTGTCGAAAGTTTAAAAATGAGAAAGTTAGAAGCTTGAAGCACTATGCCAATTTAACGGGAAATTCAAAAAGAATTTTTTTTGATCTCAGTTTTCTTGAGATTGCTTGGAAAGAGCGATTTAGTACTTTGCTGAATATTGTATATATACACGATCTTTTTACATAAAAAGTTTGAAATCAATCACAACCAATCTATAGAGCGGGGTAGGCCGGGCACTTTTCTTGTAAAATAATTTTTACTTTTTTTAAATATTATTTTTGACATTTCAACACTTTAAAGTGCCACAATATAAGCTGTATCCAACTGTAAGTGTATACTAAAATAATTTGATTTAATTTCGCTTGTGTTATACTTGGCAATTGTTTTAGGCGAATGAAATTGCGGGCCGCTCGTGGCCGTTTTATTCTCCATTCCCACGCCAGCCATTGTCGTTTCAGCCAGGGGTTTGAGAAATAAGCTGTAAATTTTCTAAACTTACTGTTATTGTTACTTTTTTGGTTTGTTGGCTTTGGTTTTTGCTGTTTTTTTATGATTTGTCATAGTTTTAGGTTATAGATTTGAGTCATAAATACTTAGAAGGAGGTCTGTAAAAAGCCGGGGTGATACTTTGGCTCAGCTTACAAGCTCGCTCATTTGGGCTTCAGTCCACAGGTTTGCATGTTTAGGCCATCCTTGTTTAATATGTCCCTTTAATGTTGTTCTGATGGGGCTTGGACGGCTTTTTTTCCAGCCTACTCAGAGGGACAAGGGTATGTTTGTAGAGACTATAAGAGTACAGTAGCATCAAAATAAAAAGTTGTTTTTTGACTATATTATAGGGAAAAGCCTGTAGTACTGTCCGTTTAAATAAAGCGATATTTATATAAAGAGTTGGGTAAAAATTTTTTTGTCAAGAAAAATCCATAGAGAAGGTCGCATTGACCTATCTTTAAAAATTATTTTATTGTATTTCAAGCAAGTGCTTGACAAAGACATGGGAGGGTACGGCAAAAAGGCAAAGCAAAAACAGCGTAGGGAAGGGGTATGATTTTGCCTAGCTCTGACAAAAGTTGGGCAAAGAAACTGGTCGGCATGGATAAGGCAAAAGTAAAGCAAAGATAGTGTAGGATCGGGTAGGGTTGTGGTTACGGTTAGTGTTAGGGCTACACTATCCAATGTTTTCATTACTTTACCTATGAGAGGCTCGATTTTCAATTTTTAATTTATTAAACTTTGTTCTATAGTTTGAATTTCTATTTATAAATTTTTGTGTTTATCTTTGCTGTATTGAAATATAGAAAATAATTTCCGAACTTTGTATGTCATGTTGAAAGTTCTTCCAAATTTTCAAAAATTTTTATTTTACTTTATGTGATCTTAATATACTTTTAAATAACTTAAAAATTCAAAAAAAAAACTTAATTACACCCTTACTTTACTCTTTTAAAAAAAACTTTTGTTTAACCTACAATCATATCATTCTTCTTTTAGTCATCATTCTTCAACTTTCTTTCAAAAGAAAAAAAACTTCCGTTAGCCTTAGCCATCGCGCTGCACCTTCTCCGCGTATAATTTCCAATTTTGCAAAGCCATTTACTGTTTCAGTCGTGTGAATCCTAACGTATTCCATTGTGACGGTGAAGAGGAGACGACGACGGCGTAGAGAAGAAGTTGTTTCGGACGTTCTGACTCTATTTTCTTAGTGCTTATATTATAAAAGAGAAAAAGCGGGGCCGTCGGCTCGATTCAATTAAGGCCCCGTTTTTTGTTGTGCTTTTAGGGCCGCGCGCCTTTTGCGAAGGAATTCACCCCTCCGGCAGTTTTTTTCGGCCGACAACGACCCTCCGTTTCTATCACGGCGCTCCGGTTCAACAAGTTGGGGAGGGTCAGTGAAGGGTCAAGTTAAAGGAGTGGATTAATGGTATCGTAGGATAGAGTGGACGATGGTTTTATGATTAAGATGGACGGTAATGCTATGCAGGGCAGGGTATTGGAGTAGATTAAGATATTATAGGGTGAGTAGGATAAGGTCGAGAGGGAAGGTAGGATACGGTACGGTAGGATCGGGTACGGTAAGGTAGGACAAAGTAATAGGGTATTATAGGGTAGGGTAGGGTAGTGTAGATATTTTAAGACAACCGGCTATTTATCTCACCCTTCCTATCCCATGCCTTTCTAATTTGCTGGTTGATGGTCGTAACGAAGATGAGACAAGTGTGAATGTAAAAAGCCAAATTTTATATCGCTTTACTAACGTTTCTTGCCGCCTTTGCAAGCTTCAAGGATAAGAAGAAACGGCCAAGACAATTTTTTGCTAAAATGTTGAGTGCGCGGCATGGGTGGGCTAAATAATGTGTTGATGTAGGGTAGGGCTGCATATACTGGACGCGTATAGTATTGAAGTTTAAGACTGTGTGCAGAGCAGGGGTGGGATAAAGGTATGATATTTTAAAATTTTTTGGAAGTAGGGTTTTTTTTGAAAAAATGGGTTTGTGATTGTTTAAATGAGTTGGAGGGGAGGGGGGGGAGGAAAGTAATACAAATTTTTTAAATTATTACTATTTTCTACTGTTTACTACTACACTGTACCTCCCCTCTACATATCTCCCACATACTACCCCTATCTACCCCTCATTTACTCTTTACCACTACTCCCTAAACCTTACAAAAAACCTGTACTTATCAACTAACCGCCTTCTACATACCCCCTAATGATCTCTTACCTATTCTTACTTACATTTGCCTACTTCATACCTACTACCTATTATGTTTTCTACTTACTACATATTTTTTCCCTACTTGCTAGCTGCCCCAAAATTACCCCTATCTCCTCTACTCTACTTTGTAACCCTCCTCAACTTTTTTTTAAAAAGCTGTGGTCTACTGGCCTTAAAAGCTTTGCCTGAACGCCATCTTCATCATGTTCAACCATTATTTCCACTTTTTCTTTTTTATATTATAATAGTCATTATTTCTGAGCCCATTCCCCCCCCCCTCTACCATTCTCTTTCAATCGCCACTCAACACGCGTCGTTTATGTTACAGTAGCGTGCCGTCGCGCGATTACAACTCCGCTCCAGCAAAAAACATAATCGAACATTATTTTAGGTACTGCCATATTAAATTAGCTTCATTTCGGACGTGGGCCCCTGTATTGACGCGATTTTCGCGGAATCTCGGGCACAATTCATTCAGGGATTCTAATTTGGACTGCTTAGTGCACATTTTTGCGGTTATTTGATTACTAAATAGTACGAGTAATTTGAGCACACTTAGGAGAAGACGGTTGTATCAAAGTTGGCCGAAAAGTGAGTTTTTGGCTGTGTTTTTGGCGTTTGGTGATACTATGTAGTACGTGGTGTATTTTGTCAAAGTAGTGCTAAATAATACAAGAGCCGCTTGCATTATATCACAGTTGGTGCTATTTGCAGTAATCGTACTTAATAGTACGAGTATTGGTAGTGCTATGTAGTACGTGATACTATAGTACTATGTAGTACATGGTGCTACCAGATATGCTATTGCTATATTACTTTTAAAATTTGTTAGGTTCTTTTGTACTACATAGTAGGGTTCGGCACGGGGGGGGATGAGCCATCCCCGCAAGTTCGAGTACCCCCCCCCCGTTTTCGAAAATTTCATCCCCGCTTTTACGGGGGGGGATGAAAAAATCCCCGCGGGTACGGGGGGGGATGACGGGGACAACTGAAAATTTTAAAATACTACTTTTTAAAGTAAAAAGTAGTACTTTTTAAAGTAAAAAGTAGTGTAATAGTTGTAAAATCATCTTTAAAATGATGCTATAAAATTAGGAACCTTTTTTTAATTTCAAAAAAAAATTATAAGCTATGTTTTGATAAAAATTTTTTTATTTTAAAGGAATTTAAAGACAAATGTAACAACAACAAAGTTATTGAAAATTTAAAAGTTTTAACAATTAACAACAACAATATTAGTCAATACATTCATCAAGTGATTCTTCGATTTCTTGTTCTGCCGCGACTTCGTCTTGTATTTCTTTATCCAATATCTTTTGGCATCGTAAAAGTAGAATCTGCTCCGTTCGGTCGTTTCCCAAGTTTACCCTTAAATTATCGCTGAATAAGAGTGTTGTTTGACTGAAGAATCGTTCGCTGGCAACTGATGTTGGCGGTACTGACATCAATGCTCTCGCGCAGCTTGACAATAGTGGAAATCGATGTTGATTCTCCTTCCAGAACTTGTAGGGGTCAGCGTTGTCCTCGATGCGCTTTGACCGGAAGCTATTTAGTTCTTCTTAAAACACATAGATTAGCTTGTTAATAAAGTTTTAAATTAGCATATTATTAAATAAAAAATAAAACTTATTTGAAGATCGTTGTCTTGAGTCATGTGCAAATTCATGTCGGGAGTTTCAATCCTAAGTTGTTCATCAAGAAACGACAGATCATCTTCAAGTTCGTTCCTTTCTGCATCAGTCTGTAATTCACCCTCAACCTCATTTCCACCGCTTGCGACGTGTTGATTAGCTGTTGTTTCCTTTATAAAACGTCGAAGATATCGCATTCCATCGACAACGTCATCTTCTGTAGAGAGGTGAGTGTATCGTGGATCCACTAACTGTGAAGCTGCCAGCATGTCCTTTGAAGCCAAACCTTCAATTCTGAATTCCAAATTGTCATGTAGTGTTTGAACAAATTCCACAATTTCAACATGTGCTGGGTTCTTGCTAAGAATTTCAATGCTTGTTTTCAAAAATGAAAGCAAACTTGAGAGGCGTGGTTGAAGTGTAGCACAACATTCATCGTCTCCAGAAAACATCAACGTCACTTTATAGAACTTTTCTAGTATTTTAACAACGATTTTAAGTGCTGTATGTTCGGACTGGTTGAAGGGACAGTATCGGATTCTGGTGATGACATCGAACTTCTCATATATATGCTTCAGCATCAGATACGTTGAGTTCCATCGAGTCACACATTCTTTTGGTATCTTTGTCGGAGCCAGATTAACACGACTGTGAGCTTCATTAAACAACTTCAAATTTTCTTTGGATCTTTTAGAGTTCTTGGCAAATTCTCGCTCTTTCTTTAATATTACGTTGACTATTCCATCCGTGTCTTCCAGGGCTTGTTGTACACATAGGTTCAGCAGGTGAGCTCCACATTGAAAACTTAAAACTGAGACTTGCATTAACCGCCCTGTTTTGCTCATGTTCGCTGCGTCGTCTCTGAAAAGGGCCACAACTCTTTCCGTGCTGATTCCGTAGCTAGCAAGACAATCGTTAATCTTGATGAGGATGTTCTCAGATGTCTTTGATTCTGTACTTTGTTATCCTCGGCATCCAATTACGTAGTTGTGTCGGCCAAACTCTTCGTCCACGAAATGCATGGTTACACTAAAACAAAAAATGTAAGCAATAATGTTTAAATAAATTTAAAATGGTTTAACTTTAAACATTACTATTATCAAATGTTAACAATCCCATACCTTTGAAAGGAATGTTCCTTAAGAGACCAACCATCAGATGTTATTGAAACATAACCATCTTTGCAAATCTTCTTAACCTCATCTTTATATTGCACCAACATCTCTGGAATTACAGTATACGTGAAGTGTTTGACTCCGTAAGCTTTCGTGTCCATGAATTTAGCATCAGCCAATGATTGTAGTTGGGCGTTGTTGAAGGAGGATAGAGGAGATCGTAAAGTCAAAACCAACTTGACTAAGTATTGGTCACGCTCTTTCTGACGATCTTCGAAGTTTTTTTTAACGACGTATCCAGATATCTGAAACGTCATGACATTATAAAACAAACAAGGAGCTTTATAATTACATTAACGTATACAACAACATTAAGCTAATATAAGTCATTTCTTACCATATTTGCTTTCTTTGGGACAATCACTTCTTCCTCCTTCTTTAACTTGAGCAACATCAGCATGTTTTTTGGCCAAATGATCCCACATGCACTTGGTCGATGAGGTTTGATCTGCACTCCGATAAGAAAATCCTTGGATAACACATACTTTATTATCGTCAAAGTAGGTCCATACTTTGCTGCGTCTGTTCATTGGCCTCTTTGATGTTGTACAAGCCGGGGACACATTAGAAACTTCAATTGTTTTTTTCTTGGATACAGTTACCTGTAAATTGCATATTTTAAGAGCGCAAACCAATTTTAAGTAATAATCAATTTGTAATTTTATTATTTCAGTTACCTTTGAAAAAACAGGAAAAACAGATGTAGATGCGGCTTCTACCTGAATTTCCTCTTCTATTTCAGCTTCCATCTCTTTTAGCTTTGTCGAACGCTCTGGTCTGCAATAAATAATGTCTTTTACAATATAAAAACGATTATAAAACTGTCACTAAAAGAGTGAATTTAGGTAACAATTAGATATATTCAACTAAAGATAATGAAACGGACATGTCCAAAGCAGTTCCAAAGCAAAAACAATACCTAAAAACAGACAATAATAATTTAAAAACTTACAGTACTTTTTGTAAATATGTGGGGTCGATGAGCTGGTCGATTCTCCTTGTTTCCAACCAGAAAATAGAAAACAAAATCTTGTCTGGTTTCGAAACAAAAAGCGCACGCAACCCAATTAGGGCGCGGTTCGAAAAAAAACAAGAAATTGCGACCTGCCTGCGCTTTTTATACGCAATTTTATTTCCATGATAATAAACGTTTTTTACAAAAAATTAATATTTTTAAAAAAAATTTTATCCCCGTACCCGCGGGGATTTTTGCAAAAATCCCCGCGGGTACGGGGACCCGAAAAAAAAGGGTCATTTTTTATCCCCGCGGGTACGAGGGATCCATCCCCCCCCCCGTACCCGCGGGGATCCCCCCCCCCGCCCCCCGTGCCGAACCCTACTACATAGTACGTAGTACTATATAGTACGTGGTACTGTTTTTTGTAACAGTACCATTCAGTACGAAGAAAAAATTGTTGTCGTAGTACTTTCTAGCATTAAATTTTACTTAACACTCAAGTGCAATATAGTACCATAAAGTTTTCTCTCAAACTTTCAGAGCCCCAGCCTGTACCAAGCCATCCCAAACCTTTGGTACAACTTCACCACAACAGTACCAAAATCAGAGCGCAAACTGACGGAAGGAAGCACTAGGCTTCAGGGCGATGCCAGGCCGGCGTTCCGACGATTCGTTCCGCCAATCCAACAACGAATTCAAAACGCGACAACACGGCCCGGCTAGTTAATACAGCTCTGACCTTGTGGAGAACAACCGACCGGTCGACAGGCTTTTATACAGTACGTAAGGGGTTTTTTTGATTGAAAGGGGTTGATATTGTAGTATTGTCGTACTTTTGGCTGTATGGTTTTGAAAAATTTTATTTTTTTTTTCTTTTTTTAGATTTTTTTATAGATATAGTACGTACTGTAAAAAAAATAAAAAAATAAATTTTTAAATTTCAAGTTAGTTTTTTTTGTTTCTAAACACTTTTTTTTTTTGGTATGATACTATTCAGTACGTGCCATATAGTACGTGCTATATAGCACAACTTAAAAAATTTTTGTTATTTTTTTAATAAAAAAATTTTTAAAAAATTGCTTAGCGTTGTTCATTAGTACTATATTTAGAATATTCCTCTCAACTGATTCACTTCCGGTTCTCGTATCATACCAAACCCATACAAATCTCACTCTTCTCATACCTGATACAATAACCAACCATGCTGCTGTACTACCTCGCCGCCATCTTCAAGGGCATGCACCCGCGGGTCGACGATGACTTTGTGGACAAACTCAACTACCACTACACATCCGCCATCATTTTCGCGTTTGCCGTGATCGTGTCGGCGAAACAGTACGTCGGGTACCCGATTCAGTGCTGGGTACCGGCCCAGTTCACGGACGCGTGGGAGCAATACACGGAAAACTATTGTTGGGTCGAATCTACATATTACTTGCCATTAACCAGTGCTTTTCCGTTGGAGTACGGTAATCAACGGTAAGTGGGAATCTTTTTGAAATTTTAAAACGGCGCCAAAATTATAAAATTTTAGCAATGTGTTTTAAGTATTCAAAAAACGTTTTAAAAGTCAAAATTAATGTTAAAAATGCTTTTTATAGTTTTTTAGGGCAACTATGACTGTTTAAACACAAAAATATGGAAAATCAAGTTTTCGTGGTGGGACCCAAAGTTTATTGAAAGTTGATATTGTTATGAATTTTAAGAATAATTTCGTTTAAATTTTTTTACACAATCTTTTATTTGTTTATACAACCCAGATTTGACTCAAAATTAGTCATAATCAGGTTTTCGTGGTGGGACTCAAAAATTTTTAAAGAATATTTTTGATTAATTTTTATTGAATCGATGACAAAAAATCAAAATTAAAACCAAAAAACGTTTATTATTGTATGTTTTATCTTTGTAAGGTTCAGAGCGAGACAAGTCAGTTACTATCAATGGGTACCCTTCGTACTGGCTTTAGAAGCCCTCATGTTCTACGTGCCTTGTGTTCTATGGAGGGGGATGTTGCATTGGCATTCAGGTAAATTTAAAAAATTTTTCTTAAGTTTTTTTGTACTACTTATCATCATTTTATTTCGAATTTGAGTTTTAGTACTATTTTGTACTATATAGTACCAAAAAAATTTAGTACTATATAGTAACGATAACTTTATTAAATTTTACTTTATCTTATTTTAATTAACTTTATTTGATTTTAGTCTAAATTTCAAAAACTCGCTAACGTACTATATAGTATCAAAATTTTTTCGTGCTATTTAGTACCAAAAAAAATTTTTTAAATTTTTTATACTTGACGTGTCAATTTGAAATATTTGTTTGTATTTTAGGTATAAACGTGCAGAGCTTAGCCCAAATGGCATGCGACGCTCGGATGATGGACCGGGACGCTCGTACTGCCACTGTACAAACGATAGCATCACACATGCAGGATGCGTTGGAGATTCAAAAAGACGTAAGTCATGTCAGTTACTTTTGAAACATTTTTGGTGCACACGTTTCAACGATACTCACTGGTGATGGTATAGGTGATGGTATATGAAGGAAAACTACAACAGTGTAAAAAAATTTGAAAAACACTCCTTTTTGTCAGAATTCCACTAAAACCACCCCTATCTTAACCTTGTTTTAGGCCTCAGACGTGTCCTCGTTTTTCTGTGGCGGAAAACGCTGGGCATCCTATGTGACGTGCCTTTACGTATTTATTAAAATCATGTATTTGGCCAATGTTGTGTTACAAATTTTCATGTTGAACTGGTTCTTGGGCACGGACAACGTGCTGTACGGCTTCTACATTCTCAAAGACTTGCTCAGCGGCCGAGAATGGGGAGTTAGTGGCAACTTCCCGAGGGTCACTATGTGCGATTTTGAGGTAAATTGTTTAATTATTATTAGGATATTCAATTATTTCTGTGCCCCTTGCTTCTCAGTGTGAATTATCTACCTTATTTTACCCTACCCTACCCTACCCTACCCTACCCTACTCTACCCTACTCTACTTCAACTAACCCTACATTATCCTAAGTTATCTTATCATACTCTTATTCTCACCCACGCCCAGCTCTTGCTTTATATGCGTTGCTCTTGCACTTTTGCCTGGTTTTTGCTATTTTTTCGTACCAATCATGCTCTATCTTACATTGCTTTACTATATATTACTCTACCCTACTTTACCCTAACTTACCTTACTTTTTCTTACTGTAGCTTGCGCTGTCCTGTTGTCAACCTGACTATACTTTAGGTTTACTGTAGCTTTCTTTGACCAGCTCTTTTATTAATTTTATTTTTTAGGTCCGAGTACTAGGAAACGTGCACCATCATACAGTACAATGCGTGCTTATGATTAACATGTTCAACGAGAAAATATTTTTGTTTTTATGGTTTTGGTTCTTCATGGTCGCTGTGATATCAGTGTTTTCATTGGTGCACTGGATGTTAATATCGTTCTTCCCGGGGCAGGTAAGGCGTGTTTTTGAAATTTTTATGGTTTTTTAGAGGGGGGAGGAATGTGCAGTCTTTTTACATAAGACAAGACAAAAATTCCAAAAAAGTAACAAATGATATTTTAATTCGCAATTGTTGACAAAACATGTAAAAACGAAAGGAACTTCTACAACATAGAAGAAACATAGATTACCTTAACATCTCCAATCACTTGATAACCGTAGAACGGCGCTCCAGGGTCTAAACACACTGGCAAGAGAAAAGTGTTCGAGTTCAATGTCAGGAAAGCAAAGTACAATGAGTAGTACTTAAACCTGACAACATTGTTTTCATTCTTCTGTAGGTAATCTATCTTGTCGTCAAATATTTCGTAGACCTTACGGCCGGTTTGTTCATCTCCCCATAGAACCAGGGCATGACTCATATTGAAGGTTAAACCTAGAACACTGGTAACTTCTTGGTTTTGCAATACTACGCTGAAAACATCGCCTGTGGGCACTAGGACAAACGTGATTTCTTTACCTAAAAGTATTGTTTAGAATAGGGCAGGGTAAGGAAAGGGTCTGGGTAGGGTAAGGGTAGAGTAAAGGTAGGGCCAGGTAAGGCAGTGTAGGGCCAACGTAGGGACGGGTAGAGAAACGGTAGAGTAAAAATAGGATACTGTAAACTAGTGTAGGTTAAGTTAAGGTAGGCTTAGGATGTAAGAAAGGTGTAGGATAGGGAATGCTTGTCCAAACTAAGGTGGGGAAGGCTGCAGCAGGCTATGATAAGGTAAAGTAGGGCAGTGTACGATAGGGTAGAGTAGGCTAGGACTAGAGCTCTGGGCTTGGGCTAGGGCTCTGGGCTAGGGCTCTGGGCTAGGGCTCTGAGTTAGGGCTCTGGGCTAGGGCTCTGGGTTAGGGCTCTGGGATAGGGCTCTGGGCTAAGGCTCTGGGCTAGGGCACTGGGTAAGAGTTCTGGGCTAGGGCTCTGGGCTTATGGCTTAAAAACTCACCAACTGTCATTGGCCGTATGAATCGCGTTTGAGCCCATACAGCGCCACAAATGATCTAGAAAATAAAATTTACGTTCGAAATTTTAAAATTTTGCAATTTGTGAAAAAATAAAAACAGCAAACATACTGTAACACACAAAAATTTTAGCATTACCATCACTTAAAAAGCGTTCTTATAAATTTTTGAACAGATTTATTATTAAAAAGAAGCATCCACCCTGTATATGTTTTAACGTTTCTCACATTATATGTTTTATATGAGTAAAATAATGAATATATATGTATAACTTATTCCTCCTCTTTCTTCAAAAACTTTGAAGAAACTATGGGCAAGTTTGCAAATAGCCAGGCTAAGCCCAATTTTTCGGCCCAGCCCACGAGTTGAGCTTAGTAGGCCCAATTTTAGGTCAAGCTGTAGGTTTCTTCATATAACTTATTAAATCGTTCAAATAATTTTGTGCCTTTTAATTCTGGTAACTTTTTATGAGAGTGGCTCAGAATTATTTGAACAACCTAATAGTGTTTTTGCAAAACGTAAAACGGCAAGAGCTTTCTTTACAAAATGAAGAATGGCAAAAACTTTCTTTACAACACAAAAACTGGCAAAGACTTTGCTTACAAAACGGAAAATTGCAAGAACTTTCTATACAAAACAAAAAATGACAAGAACTTTATTTACAAAACGGAAAATTGCAAGAACTTTCTTTACAAATCAAAAATTGGCAAGTACTTTCTTTCCAACATAAAACTTAATTTTAACTTCCATTTTCAGCACATGAAATTCGTTCGCAAATACCTCCGCGCCACTGACCTCGCCACGGACCGCCAGTCGGTCAAGAAGTTTGTGCACAAGTTCCTCGGCCCGGACGGTGTGTTTTGTATGCGGATGATCTCCGCCCACGCCGGCGACATCATGGCCACCGAGCTGATCATCGAGCTGTGGCACGAGTTCAACGACCGTGTCCGCAAGTCGCCGATCGAAATGTTCGAGGGCGGGGTCTCCCAATCCCCCTCCAAACTGGACGCCAACTTTAAAACCTGGCTTCTGGGCCAGACTAGGTACGCCAACTCCAATTCCTACTCCCAACCGCACGTTTAAGCTGTGAGATTTACCCATCCTTTTTGAGATGAGATAAGATTTAAAGTTTTTGGAAAATTTAAAATTTTTTAAAAAATTTTTTGAAATAAAAATTTAAAATTTAAAAATTTTTTTGAAATTTAAAGTTAGCTTTCATTTTGACACAGTTTACAGTACTTTATAGAGTAAGACTGTAAAAAATGTCAGAAAATCCAAAATTTAAAAAAAAATTGAAATTTTCAAAATTTTGAAATTTTAAAGAATTTAAATATAAGGAAGTAAATTAAGGTAATCTCGCAATAGTGGTAACGCTTGCTTTTAGTTTTTTAAATTTACTTTTGTTAAAACTAATTTTAAATGTTATTTATGTTAAATTTTGTAAGGTATTGTAGTAAAGAAAGTTTTGAACTAAAAAATATAAAATTAATTTTGTTGGTTAACACTGCTTTTGTATTGTGCTTGTACAGATTATTTTAGAAGATTTTTTTGGCAAAAAAAATTTTTTTTAAAATTATATTAGCGAAGCTTAAAAAACTTAAAAATTTTTCAAAATTTCAGGCTGTAGGCTTGTTTTTAGGATGTTAAGACTAACTTACTATAAGTTTCCACTTTTGTAATTTAAAATATTTATAAATTTAAAAAACATTTTTTTTGAAAATTTTTAAAAAATTTAGTAAGCATTTCAAAATGTCATAACAAAAATTCATGCGTTTTACTGTAGCAAAAATAGGAATAACGCACACTCGAGCCCATCGCCAGCAACTTTGATGTTCCGGCACTCGCACGACCCCAACTGGTTGTAAATAGATACTCCTTCTCTTCCTCTGACGCTTATCGTATTGTGAACGACGTATGTTGTTGTCGGGTATTTTCAATATAACCACATTTCTACTGTGATTTTCTACTGAATGCGTGAGAGTTTGCACTGTTTCTACTGTATGCTTTCTACGGTATGATACACGTTTTGTTTCTACAGTATGGTACACGTTTTATTCTACAGTATGATACACATTTTGCTACACACGATAGAAGTATATCTTCTTTTATACACAAGACGTACTTTGCTACTGTGTTGTCAGATTTGCTACAGTATTAGCCTATCTTACTGTAGATACTACAAAGTGTACATCTTCTACCATACGTGTCATTATATGGGTGTTTTCTTTACTGTCGCAGTAACTTGATATTAACATACGAAGCTTTAAATACACTCACTTTTTACTGCGATAGACCTATCTACCGTACTCTACAGTAACTATGACTAAATACACTCTATCAGTACTACAAACGTTTGACGTACTATGACACTTTTTCTACTGTGTGCTCCTACCAGGTACTGAAACACTAGTATGATGAGATTTTCACACACTAAACATGTACATACTCAGTTTACATTAAGTGTTGTCATCATAACACTATCAGTATTTCTATTGTCATCACATAGAAATGTCACCTATTGCTTAAAGTGTACCGGCACGTTTTAAAAGAATACCATCACAGTGTTCAAGGCTTTAGTGTACCACAAGTTTCATTCACAGCACAACCCATATCACAGTGTTAATTACCGTCACGGTTGTTTACTTCTGTTGCAGAGGTCATGGTCAAGTCACCCTCAACTTCAACAATCACACTTAACACACATCACCGAGAGACAGCAGGAAACGAAGAGAGTGCAGAGAAATTCTATATTTTTACGTTGATGCAGTTTATATATCGTATTGTATCTACTGATTGCATTGAGGATACTACTTGAAATTGAAAGTGGTGATACTAAAGCGTATGGACTTAATATGTATAAAGTTACAGTAATCTACAGTAAGAAAGAAAGAAGATATATGATACAGAAGATCATGTGTAATATCAAGAAAAAAAGCTTGAAAGAAAAAAATGTCATTTTTTTTAAATGATGTAGTGTAAAATACGACAACAACAGATAGCATATGAATTTGGAGTACCGGCAACAACATACAACAATCAGATGAGCGTTCGGCACGACGTGGCACGGTGAAAATGCACAGGCAAGTTATCTCTCATCCACTTTCGCTATCCGTTTATCGTAGATATTACTGTCACATTGCTGCTGGTAAATTGTTGTCGTATGCAATTTTTTTAAATAAAAATTTTAAATTTAAAATTTATAATTTTTTTTTTAAAAAAATGGTAAAATACGGCTCGCTTTTTCTCAGCTTTTTGATTATACGACAACAACTGCCATATTTCATAGTATCTATCGTTAATTTCACACCTGCCATCTTCCGTTTTCTTTTCCTTATGTCATGTTGTAGCCAACGCTATTTAGCAGTAAAAGCTGTTACTGTGTTGTAAATAAGTACACATACCTAACCTTCATGTTTCATACCTAAAATTTTAAATTTTCACCCAAAAGCACTTAACAACTAGGTGTTGTTTTAACCAAACACATGCTTTAGAAAGAAGAATTGAAGTTTTGAAATATTTTGCCGGTTTAACAAAATTTTATATTGAACTGGGTAGGGTAAGATATCGTAGGGCATGGTAGAGTATGGTAAGGTAGAAAACAGTAGGATAGAATAGAATATGATACGGTAGCAAACAGTAGGGTAAGTTGGCTACATGAGAAACGGGGTGATTAGAAGTAATAATTTACAAAGCCGGGCGCTGGGGTGACCCCCCCCCCTCCCCCACTAAAATTAAATTTTTGAAAAAAAGTTTAACGTGGTCCCCCCTGTGGATTTTTTCGACCCCCGCCTCTAGGCCAAAAGTCCCCGCTCGCCCCTGATGGTTTAGCTTTCTCTACTGTAGCGCTAATAGTTTTCTTAAACCGTAGAGGCTATATTCAAAATATCTTTAGAAATTTTGTTTGAGGATGATAGGGGAAGGAAGGGCTGAAAAGAGAAACAAAAAAAATTTGAAAAAATTAACAAGCTTTGCCTATTTCAAAAACTGTCTGTGTTTATGTAGTTTTCAATTTTATGTGATGTTTGACATCAAATCTGAATTTCAAATTTAAATTTTAAAATTACTTTAAAAAAAAGTTATTTTGAGTGTTACATGTTGACTGTCTATACCCTTGAATGATATATGTTTTTATAAATCTCTATATTTTTTTTTTGATTTTTGGATAAGCGAATTTGTGATGAGAGATTTCTTGTTTTTCCTTTGTGCACTTCCATCGAGTGTGGTGTTATGTTTTCGTTTTTAAAATTGCAGTACATTTTAAAAAAATTGATTTTTTTTTATTTAAAATAAAGCCTGAGCCAACCCTAGAGCCGGGCTTGTGGCCGGACTAGGGCTTAGCTAAAACCGGCTGAAACCTTACTACAGCTCGGGTGAAGCCGGCTGAGGCCGGGAAAAAGCCGGGCCTAGTTGGCCCTCTTTCAGGTCTAGCGAACGCTTAAGGAAAAACATATTTTATAAGTGGAACTGCTATAAAAAAAGTATAGTAAAAGCACCCACAATTATTTATAGCACGTTTGTACTGTTTTTAACTTTACAGCTCTTTTGTTTCGTTTCTAACTCTTTAGTTTTTGTTTGACTTGTCCGTGTTTGCAAGTTTCAGGATGTGCCAAAGTTAATTTGACCGTTTTTTATTTTTTTTAGTTAAGAACTAATATAAAATTAAAAAAAGGCTAATTTTAGTTAGTGAATTAAAAAAATATATTGCTAATATTAGTACTAGTTATTTTTAGTACTAATCAAAATTTTTATTACTACATGTAGTATCAGTTTTAGTACTGGCTATAATACTATTAATTTTTACAACAATTCATTCCCGATTTCCATCGTGTTGTAGTAGTAAAGCCATTCATTATATTATAATATCGTATTCATTATACCATAGTATCGTACTCATTATATTACAGTATCGTACTTCCTTAGTTTCCTAGTTTCTCCCACTTTTTTCTTGTAACCCACCTCAATAAAACAGTACCAATGATACAATATTTTCAGAGGAAAACCCCAATTCGACGGCTCAAACCCGACCCGCGGCAAGAAGCGTCGAAAGAGTGATGGTTACTTTACATTCGTCTGAACTACGTGTACAATCGCATTTCAATGCTCGACTCTCCTTAATCAGTCTAACCAATTCGATTTTACTGTTGTTGTTGCGAAATTATGCCGTTATTTGGAATTTTGAAAAAATTTTTTTGAAATTATTGAAAAATATGTCATTATGAAATGTTTTTTGTCATTATGACATGTTTTTTGAAAGTTGTGACATTTTAAATTTGACTATGAAAAAGTATATATTAATTACGTTTTACTCGTATTTTAGCCGAAAAATTCTTTAAAATGTCCTTTTTCAAAATTCCAAAATGTGTCATAATGTTATATTTTCTGTACAACGACATTCTTTGCCAAATCAAGTGTAATAAGTAACTTCCAAGTTGTACTTCACAACGTTTTTTTTATTTTTTTTATGAAAAACTGCCAAAAATTCTCGATTTTTTCTCTTTTTTTTCTCTGCACTCGCTCGGTTTCTATTGTTATTTCGCTCCGATTTCATCACAAATAACTTGACCTTTATCAAGGTGAAAACTTCTATGTCAATCTCAACTTTTACATGCAATCTCTTTTTTTTAACTTTTTTTCTGTTTGTTACAGTAAGATTTAGTACAGTATGATAATGCTTAAACTGGCCCGATTTTAGTGTTAAGTGTTTGGTACCGTGAAGCACCAGTAAAAGTAAAACTATGACATTTTTATTCTTAATCGTAAGTTTGACTACCGTATTTTACAATCAACTGCAATAAAAAACATACTGTATGTCATACTGTAACATGTACTGTAAAATTTTGTGAATTTTCTGCCCGACAACAAGAAAAATTTTAATTCTTGTCGTATGTTTGTCTTTCATTGAAAGAATTTAAAACTATTTTGTGTATTTGAAGTTCGTATTTTAAAATATATTATTATATTCCAATAAATACAAAAATAAATATTATAAAACTTTTTTGGAGTATTTTTGCACCCTATCTACACTATCCTACCCTACTCATTAACAATACTCCGCCCTACTCAAGCCTACTTTATCTTACCCTACCCTTGCTACCCTTGCTTTATTTTTGCCTTACCCATGCCTTACTCTTCTTCCTTGCCTTGTTTTTGCCCGATATAAGCCCTACCTTATCCTATCTTACCCTATCCTAGTTCTGACTCCTACATATGCCCTAGTATAGCTTTATATTTGCCTTTCTTTTGTCTCTGTCATACCCTTGCCTTGGCTTTGTCTTGCCTCAGCGCTCCTCTGCCCTACTGTACTTTACCGTAACCTACCTTATCCTACCCTACTATTGCCTTACTCATGCCTTACTCTTTCTCTAGTCGTACCATTGTCTTTCTTTTGTCCTATCTTATGCTATCTTTTGCTACCCTACTTTACTTTACCATATCTTTGCTCTATCCATGTCATACTCTTGTTCTACCTTTGCGTTTCTTTTGCCTTTGCTTACCGTTGCCATAGCCTTGCCCTGTCCTTGTCCTATCTTAGCCCTACCTTACTCTACCATGCTTTATAAAAACTTGTTGCTCTTATCATATAATCTAATTGATTGCTGTTTGTTTATTTTTGTTTATTCACAAAAAAACGGGAGCGGTAATCTCTTTATAGCGACAAAGGTTATGACCGAACTTGGCAAACAAACAAATAATTTGCATATTTGTAGCTCATTATTGGAAAATTAATGCTATTTTTCATACGTATCTTTATAAAATTATAATTTGGGCATTGTAGGCTTAAGATTATTCCATCCTTCTACATTATTAGTCGTTTTTTAATACTAGCTCTTTGTGACGTATCCTACGTCAAGGAAGCGTCGTCTTT